ACATAATGGGGAGCATGACAGAGTAGGAGAGAATAATGGAGATAACCCTAGAAGAAGAACTATTAGGGAAGCCACTACTTCTGATGCAAATTATGATCCTTTTAATGTTGCATGCCCTAATGTTGATGTTAATTTTGAGATTAAAGGTCCACTGCTTAATAATTTGCCTAAATTTTATGGTTTGACAGGTGAGGACCCGTACAAACATCTGAAATCTCTCTCTATGGTATGTGCTAGCATGAAGCCGGTTGGGGCTAATCTGGATGAGGTTCTTTGGAAGGTATTCCACTTGTCTCTGGAGGGCAAAGCGCGAGAATGGTACATGAGCTTGCCTAGTTATATGGCAGATGCCTACCATAACTGGAACAACCTCAGAAAAGCATTCTTGGAGAAGTATTTCCCTACTTCCCGGACCTCCACATTGAGAAAAGAGATCTACTCTGCAAAGCAAGATTATGATGAGTCACTTTATGACTATTGGAACCGTTTTCAGGACTTACTTTCTAGATGTCCACACCATCAGATTCCAGATGAGCAGTTAGTCCAATACTTTTATGATGGACTTAAGACCCAAGATAAGGGGATGTTGGATGCTGCTTCTGGGGGTTCTCTTATTGATTTAACTGCTGAGGAGGCATGGGAACTTATCAAGAAAATGGCATTGAACCATCAACAGTATAGCATCAGGGAGTCTAAAAATGTCAATGCAATGCATACTAATCCTTCTTCAGTCCACATTCCTCAATTGGACACATTCACTTCTCAAATTGCTGCTTTGACTACACAGTTGAATAAGCTTGCATCTCACACTCCCCCTATTGACACTCGGACTCCTAATTCTATGGAGATGACTGCACCTAGTTGTGAGCATTGTAACTCTGTTATGCACATCTCTGCTGCTTGCCCTCATAGATATGAGGAAGTTTCTGCCATGTATCAAGGAAGGGCCAATCAATCCAAGCAATGGAACCCATACTCAAACACATATAATGAAGGATGGAAAGCTCATCCAAATTTCCGATGGGGAGGAGGTGACAATAGGCAGGTTCAAGAAGGGTTTCAAGGGAATATGGTTCCTCAAGGGCAATCTTACTATGGAGGGTTACAAGGAGAATCTTCTAGAGCCATGTCTACCCCACAGCAATCACAGTCTAAGGATGATGAGCGGTTCTCTCGAATACTCAAGGGCATTGAGGCAATGACTGAGCACATATCTAAGTCTGAAGCTAAATCTGAAGCTAGATTTGCAGCCCTAGAGAATAGGATGGAGCAATGGGAAACTAGAACCTCTAATTTGACTTCTTATGTCACTAAGTTGTCAAATGGTGTGAGTGAACAGCAAGCTAAGGCTAGTGGTTCAATGCCTTCCAACACGGTGATAAATCCTAAATCTTTGAATGCAATTACATTGAGAAGCGGTAAGGAAATTGGTGCTAAGACAGTGCAATTCAAAGATGATGAAGAGGGTGAAGAACCGGTTGACGAAGAGATAGAAGTTGAGTCTCCTCCTTCTAAAACCACTCAAGACATTCCCAAGGCCACTCAAGAGACCTCCATTCAATCCAAAGAGCCAATAGAGAAAGGATCATCTTCCAAAGGTGATGAGGTAAATATTTCTGACTTGCCTTTTCCTCATTCATATCTCATGAGTAAGAAAGTTGTTGAAAAGAAAGATAATGATGAGCTTTTTGAAATGTTTAGCAAACTTGAGGTTAATGTGCCATTACTTGATTTGATTAAAAAGATGCCTAAGTGTGCTAAGTTTCTAAAAGATCTATGTACAAACAAGAGGAAGTATAGGCATAGTGAGAGAATCCAACTGGGGTCTAGTGTTAGTGCTATCTTCAAGCCACAGCTGCCTATTAAGTGTAAAGACCCGGGTTCCTACACTATTCCCTGTACCATAGGCAAAACAAACATTTCACATGCCTTACTAGACTTAGGTGCAGCCATAAATGTTATGCCTACCTCTGTCTATGAGAGTTTGGGTATTCATGCCTTGAAAGACACCAGTGTTGTGCTAGGTCTAGCTGATAGGACTGTGAGACATCCTAAGGGCTTTCTTGAGGACGTTCTTGTGCAAGTGAAGGGTCTTGTGTTCCCAGCTGACTTTTATGTGCTAGATATGACTGATGAGATTAAAGCCGATAGCACTTTGATTCTAGGAAGACCTTTTCTTAGAACAGCCCAAACCATAATTAATGTGAAAGACGGGGTCATTACCATGGGCTTTGGGGACCAACAGATTACCTTCAACATTTCTGATGCTATGAGTCAAGGTTATGCAGATTGCTCTTACTTGGGTGTTAATTTGATTGATTGTGCTGTTAATGATGTTGATGATTTGCATGAATCTGAGATGCATGAACATGACTGGTATGGTGAGATTGTTGAGCATGATGATGCATTTACTTGTTTATCTACCCCTCATTCTTCTTCTTTTTGCTCATGTTATGGTGACGTGGTGTGTGTTAACTGTTTAGAAGTTGATCACCTCCTTTCCATCTCTCATGATTTTGATGCATCATCTTGTCTTAACTGTGATTCTGCCTTGAACATTACACTTGATGATAGCCTTGAGAAAGGCGAGTTTGTTGATTCTGCAGGTACTGATGATAAAGGAGCTGTTACACAAGCTACACCGGTAGCTTCTCCTTTGAGTGGTGCTGGAACATTAGAAGAGGCTAGCAACAAGCTTGCTACTGACTTAGTCACTTCTAATCCCACTCTTTCTTGTGATTTACTTGATGTTTCTGTTGATAAAATTGATACCGATCCTTCTTTTTGTAGGTCATCCAAGAATGGCACTGAGTTGGGAAGTGGAGGACATACACATCATGATGAGCTTATATCTCCTTCCCTAAGCCATATGGACATGCCACTTGCATTGAATGCACTTGACATAAAAATTAGTTCCTTCTGTTGTGCAACCTCCTGATTTAGAACTGAAACCCCTCCCCTCTAATTTGAAATATGTCTTTCTTGCTGCTGATTCTAAATTGCCTGTTATTATTTCCAGTTCTTTGAGTAGTTCTGAAGAAGAAAGATTGATTTCTGTGTTGAAGAGTCATAAAGGGGCTATAGGATGGTCTTTAGGGGATATTCCGGGGATTAATCCCTCAGTTTGCACACACAGGATCCTTTTGAATGAAGGGTCCAAGCCAGTTAGGCAACCACAGAGGAGACTGAATCCTCTCATTCTGGATGTGGTTAAGAAGGAAGTCTCAAAGTTGTTGAGTGCTGGGATCATCTATCCCATATCAGACAGTGAGTGGGTAAGTCCGGTACAAGTAGTACCAAAGAAGAGCGGTATCACAGTAGTGAGAAATGAAAATGATGAACTGATTCCAACTAGGGTTCAAAATGCTTGGAGAGTGTGTATAGACTATAGGAAGTTGAATGATGCTACGAGAAAGGACCACTTTCCATTACCTTTTATAGATCAGATGTTGGAAAGAATTTCAGGAAAGTCTCACTATTGTTTTCTTGACGGTTTTTCTGGCTATTTTCAGGTACCTATCGCTCCTGAAGATCAGGACAAGACTACCTTCACATGCCCTTTTGGTACCTTTGCTTATCGAAGGATGCCATTTGGGTTGTGTAACGCTCCAGGCACCTTTCAAAGGTGCATGATGGCGATATTTAGTGATCTTCTAGAGCAAAACATGGAAGTTTTTATGGATGACTTCACTGTTTACGGTGGGAGTTTTGATGAGTGCTTGAATAGCCTAGAGCAGGCTCTTGAGAGGTGTATTGATAAGAAATTGGTTTTAAACTTTGAAAAGTGTCATTTCATGGTTGATAGAGGGATAGTCTTAGGTCACCTCATCTCCCAAAAGGGGATTGAGGTTGATAGGGCCAAAATTGAAGTTATTTCATCCCTTCCTTATCCTACTTGTTTAAAGGATTTGAGGTCTTTCTTAGGACATGCAGGTTTCTATCGGCGCTTTATTAAGGATTTTAGTAAAGTTGCTCTGCCTCTTTCTACCTTATTGAAAAAAGATACTGAATTTAAATTTGATGATAAGTGTAGACATGCTTTTGACACTTTGAAATCTATGCTTGTTTCACCTCCTATTCTCACTGCACCTAACTGGAATTTACATTTTGAGTTATCTTGTGATGCTTCTAACTTTGCAGTAGGTGCCATGCTTGGACAGAAGGAGGAGAAACAGTCTAGAGTCATCGCATATGCCTCCAAGACGCTTGATTCCGCTCAAGTGAATTATACCACTACGGAGAAGGAACTATTTGCTATTATTTTTGCTTTGGATAAGTTTAGACAGTATCTTATAAACTCTCGAGTGGTTGTTTTTACAGATCATGCAGCGGTTCGATACCTATTTAAGAAGCCTCAGTCTAAACCTAGACTGCTGAGATGGGCTTTGCTGCTACAGGAGTTTGATATCGAGATTAGAGATCGAGCTGGAGCGGAGAATCATGTAGCTGACCACCTTAGTCGGTTACCTGAAGGCACACAGGGAGTTGACTCTTCTGATCTTGTTATTGACTCATTTCCTGATTCTGCACTTTTTGCCTTGGCTGTTCATGAGCCTTGGTATTCTAATATAGTTAATTATCTTGTCACTGACCTTATACCTCCTTCTATGTCTAAATTTCAGATTGATAAGCTGAAGAGGGAGGCAAGATACTATATCTGGGATGCTCCAATCCTGTGGAAGCAATGCAGTGACCAGATCATCAGACGCTGTGTTCCAAATAATGAGATCCACTCTATCCTTACCTTTGCACATTCTTTATCTTGTGGGGGGCATTTTAGTGCTAATAGGACTGCTAGGAGGGTTTTAGAGTGTGGTTTTTATTGGCCTTCTCTATTTAAGGATGCTTATTCTTTCTGCAAGTCTTGTGATAAGTGTCAGAGGTTTGGGAGTTTGGGTAGGAAGCATGAGATGCCTCTAAGACCTATGCATTTTTGTGAAATCTTTGATGTGTGGGGCATGGATTTTATGGGTCCCTTCCCTTCGTCTTTTGGGTTTTCATACATATTACTTGCAGTAGATTATGTGTCTCGATGGGTAGAGGCAGTGCCAACTAGGAAAGATGATGCTTCTACTGTTGCCAAGTTTTTACGTTCTCATATCTTTTGCAGGTATGGCATTCCAAGAGCAATCATCAGTGACCAAGGAACACACTTCTGCAACAGGACCATCAAGTCTCTATTGGCTAAACATGGAGTCAATCACAAGCTGGCCACTCCTTATCACCCTCAGACGAATGGGTTAGCTGAAGTCTCTAACCGGGAAGTGAAACGAATACTTGAGAAGATTGTGAAACCATCCCGTAAGGACTGGAGTGAAAGGCTTGAGGAAGCTCTTTGGGCTTACAGGACTGCCTACAAGACCCCTATAGGCATGTCCCCCTTCCGGTTGCTCTATGGCAAGGCTTGCCATCTACCTATGGAGATCGAGCACAAATCTTATTGGGCAATCAAGGCATGTGATGCAGATCTCGAATCTTCACTAGTCAATCGGAAGATGCAACTCCAAGAACTTGAAGAAATGAGACTTGAATCCTATGACAATGCCAGAATCTACAAAGACAAGCTGAAAATGATTCATGACAGACAGATTCTGAGGAAGCAGTTTTATGAAGGTGACAAGGTTCTAAAGTTTAAAGCCCGGTTGAAGCTGATGCCCGGGAAGTTTGTCACCAAGTGGGAAGGTCCGTTTAGAGTTACTAAAGTATATCCCTTTGGCACGGTAGAGCTCGTAGATGAGGAGACCGGTATAACTTCACAAGTCAACGGCCATCTACTGAAGCACTACCATGAGAATCACAGACCTCCCTGATCACCCGGTTGTTCCCTTCCACCCTACTCTTTTACTTTCTGTTGTATTGCTGGTGATATCTGTTTGCTGAGATAGTTAGGAGTAAGTATGGGGGAGGGAACTTTTCCAGTAGTTGTAGTTGTAGCTGTTTATTTCTGTTTAGTAGTTGTTTGTCTTGTTTCCTCTTGATTCAGCCATCTCTTCTGATCACTTGGTTTATACTTGTCTATTTTCATTTCACATTATCTTATCCTACCTCTCCCTTCTCTCTTCCTCGTGATAGTGATGTGTTGTGCTTCGATTTCAAATCGGACTTCACAACTTCCACTTCACCCGAGAGTTTATGTTAAGATAATGTTGTTTTTCTTACATTGAGGACAATGTATTGATCAAGTGTGGGGGAGGGATTGTTGTTGAGTTGTTGAGCTTTCTTTTGAAAAAAAAAAAAAAATTTTGCCTTTGGATTTGCTCCTGTTTCCTAAGTATTGCTGCTATAATTGCTCTCTTCTCTGCCTTATTGGTTGATTTCTGAATTGCATCGCATGATTTGAGAGTGATTCTTGCTTGGGAATTTTGTTGTGGTTTCTATGTCCTCCTGTTTTCATTCGCCTCAGTGTTTTGCACTGCTGTATGGGCGAGTTGTTGTTCTCTCTGTTGCTGACTCTTGACTTTTGTAATCCTTGGGCATCTCTTTTAAAAATCTTTTTGCACAATGCTTGTGAATATTGCACGGCTGAGTTTGATTGCATTTGATTTGAGTGATTTTTGTTCTTAGTTGATTAGCATAGTAGAATACTTTTGGTGCAATGTTATTAACCTTGTTTCATAGCTTGATTCTTAAGGAGAAAACATCTTAGAGAAAGCCTTAATGGAAGGATTGTTGAGCTATATATTTTCTCATCTTGTGTGATTTTCACCTAGTTTTGGTTAACCTCTAGAACTTGTTTAGATTCTTTTTCAAAGCTGCATTAATACCTAGATTTGTGAAGATGATAGGGGCATTCATTTCTAAACCTTGACCCAAACACAAACCACTTCATTTAACTTTTGTTCACCCCTTTGAGCCTTCACTTTCATTCCATTCATTTTTTTAAGCAAGTGTTTTGCATGAGTTACATTTGGTTTTTCATTTTGAAAAGTACATCATTAATATCTATATCTTTGCCTTCTTGGGTTTGGATGCCAAAAAAAAAAAAAAAAAAAAAAGAAGAAGAAAAAGAAATAGAAAAAGGCAATAAAAAAAAAGAAAGAAAATGTTTAGAAAAAGCCAAAGAAAGAAAGTTATAAAAAAAAAGGAGAGAAAATAAGTTGCAACAAAAGAATAAATTTGAAATAAGGCATTCCATGGTGGTTTGAAGAGCAATGATTTTTGTCTCAAAAGGTTAAAATCTGCACTTTGGTGTTCTTTTATGATTGTACTTAAGCTCACTTTGAGTTGATACTTTATTACTCATGCATTTCATTTGCTAGTTCATTTCATTCATTTGACCTTGCTTTCCAACATTACAACCCTTCAAGTCCCCTTGATCATGAGTCTAAGGTATGTTAGTAGTGGAGATATTAGAATCTCTACAAGCTTATGGTAGGTGCTAATCTAGGTGGATTGAGTGAAATTTTTCCCATTTAAGAGATGAGTGAAACACTTGTACCCTATGTGAGCTCTATTATGTTTCTCTTCTTTTATCCTGCTATGTTTCTTGTGTTAATTTCTTTGCACTGAAGTATTCTATAATTGTTGATTAATTAAGAATAAAGGTTGCTTGAGTTAATTGCACATTCATGCTTAGTTAGTTTTATGTTTGCTTGCATTGAGTCTCTTTATTGAATTCTTCTTTAATGAAGTTTTGCCCAGGAGTGCAAAAGGCTAAGTGTGGGGGAGTTGACAAACTCAATTATTTTTATATATTTTGGTATCTTTTATATGAGTTTTGTCAGCTTAATTGGTCCCTTTTTGCCTTAATTGATTTATTTTGTTTTATTTTGAATTATTATTTTATAGGGGCAAAATTGTCATGTTTTGATTTAATTATGATTAATTGATTTTTAAGGACAATTAATGCTACCTTATCCTTGAATTTTGCTTGCAGGTTCTTGGAAGATTCAAAAATAAAAAATAAATAAATAAAAAAAAAGAAAAAAAATTAAATGAAAAGAAAAAATAATAATAAGTTGGGGGCAAAACGTTGCGTTTTGCCCCAACCTAATAATCATCATCTCCAGCGAAACAGGAACGGGGGGGAAAAAGACGTCGAACACACACGAAACAGAGGGAGAACGACACACACGCGAGGCGGCTGGAGGGCACGGAGAGGCGAAACAGAGGAAAGAGCTGGTCGACGGCGTGAGAGGAAGGACCATTCATCATCTTCTCCGTTGAACCTTCCTGGTGGCAGGGGGCACTTGACGGAGACACACGTTGGACAGCATTTGAGAAGTAAAAAACAGAGCAACAAGACGCGACGCACACGAGAACCAGCGGCAAGGGAGAGTGACGGCACCATTCTTCACCTTCGTCTTCTCCCGAGCACGACAGAAGCTGAAGACAACACGGAAGCGAGCTGGAGACGGCGAAGACCAAAAACAGAGGCGCGAGGGACCTGGTACGAGACCAGCGGCAAGGGAGAGTGACAGAGCAAAGGACCAGTCTTCACCGTGTGCACTGTTCCGTCGCTGTCTTTGATATCTCCACTGTGTTCTCCATGGCTGGATACGGCGGAAGACTGATTATGGCACTTTTGATGGCAAACCGTGGCTAGCTTCACAATTCTCTAATTCAACAATAATGGCAGGAGCTTAGATCATCAAAGGGGAGTTTAGTTACTTTAATTTCCTGTCTAATAATTGTTTAACAATTCCTAGGTCTTAGGATAGTTATTCTGATTATTAGAAAATCTTGTATTGCTTAATCTGATTATATTTGGAGATTATTGTGACTGAATTATTGTTTAGTATTTGACATTGGGCTGTTTATAGTTTTGATTTCAATTATAATGTTGTGGTTATGACATTTATATTGATTTTGGAATTAATATATTGTGATTTTCTAAGGTGGCTTGGAATTTTGGATCATATAGTCTCTTGCTAGCTTTAATTCTATTATTTTGGATTTAAGAGTTCTAATTAAGCATTGGTTTTAAGCATCCTTACTCCCATTTTACTATTCTGGTTGCAGTTAGTAAGTTGGGATTTTAGGAAAATATTTTGTGGCAACTCGAGGTGGCTCGGTTGTTGGATCAAAAGCTTAGTTATAATTCTTAATTCATTGTTTTTAACTCCCACATCTTTTAGAGTGATGATTGCCTGCGTTGTTGAATTGGAGGATTGATTTTTATCAGTGTTATTTGTGTGTCTCATTTTCATTTCTTTAATTTCCATTCATTTTAATCACTTTTATATAAAAACAAAAAAAAAGTATTTTAATTTCAATTTGATTCTTAGTATTTAATTAACAGCTTTTCAAAATCAAAAATCTCTTTTTATAGTTTAGGTTACTTGCATTTATTTACTAGGGTTTAATTTCGTTTTCGGCTCCTCAAAGTGAAATGACCCGAGTTTTGCACTATATTGCATTAATTCGGTTAATTTTTGGAGTAACCCCAAAGCGACAATTAAGGGCAAGTTAACTTCAAGGAGCCGGCTCGAATTTAACAGTGTTAGTGTTCAACCTTTTAACAGGTTTGTCTAAGAGCTTTATAGCATATTTTTCAAGATTCGCCAAATTTTCCTCTGACGACTTATCCATTTGGACCGTCTCTTCTGTTAATCCATCATCCTGCGTCATGAAGCAGATTGGCATAAAAATTCATTTGCTTATGTGATTAGTGATATCTTAAAAGTATTAGATTACATGATTTGATTCGAATAGAACTCCTAAACCTTTTGAATATATATATATTGTGATTAATTTGGAGGCAGAGACAACGTAGGTGACATAATTTGATGATGGGACAGCTAACTAAATGTACCTGAATTCGAAGGTAATGTTCCTCAGCCTGACCAGCTGCACGAAAGACAGTGGCAAGGTGATAGTCAACCATGTCTTGACTTCCACACTGCAAAAATTCGATTATGGGATTTATCCAATGCAGAAGGCCCCACCAAAATGACTTTCGAGCATCGTATGTAGTCATTTGGATTGTTCATCATAGGCAACAACTTAGGGTTTGCCGTCTTGTGCTGAGTCACCTCGCTAACGGCTGCCAAACCCTATATATATATATATATATATATATATAATGACATAATCTATCAATAAAATGTGGAGCAACATGCTTTGTGTGTGTGTGTGTGTGTGTGTGTGTGAAAGATCGAAGAGTTCATTTACTGGATTAAGAGCAGATACGCCTCCATCAACCAAATGGAACTCATGCTTATCATTCTCGAAGTAATGGGGTGGGAAATATGTGGGTGCAGCAGAAGTCCCTAAGCATATATCAGAAAGCTTGGCATCTAATGAAGGCACTTCTTCTATCTGTATCAAACAAAACAAAGTGAGTTATACACGAGTTCCAATTTATTAGCTACACAAATTGATGATTGATTGCATGAGATGCATTTAGAGAGTGATAAAAGGAGGAAAAAAAAATAATAGAAAATTGCACTTATAATTTGAACCCTATATATACAGCCTAAGATTATATACAGCCTAACATAAAAAATGCCTTTCATTAAAGAAACTTTCCCTTAATCAGATTATTAATTTTAACTAATTTTATAAGACTGTGTGAGCTAGGCATGAGTTACTAGTGTCTCATGCTCCCTTCGGTCCTTTTATATAAGATCCTGATAATTGAATTGCGTAGTTTAAGAAATCTGTTAAAAGTAGTTAAAAGTAATAAATATGTAAGGAACCTTTTTTTTTTTTGAAATATGCCCTTATACATAAGAGGATAAGAGAGAGACAAAGATAATGAGAAAAAAAGATGAAAGACAATGTATGAAAAAAATAATGAGAGAGAAAAGAATTAATTAGAACTAAAATTGGTAAAAATACATTTAATGTTCACACTTCAGACAATCCCAATGATCTTATAAAAAGGATCAAGCCAATTAAAAACAATTAAGATCTTATAAATAGGATAGTATTTGAGATGGGAGAGATTACCTTGTAGGTTGAGAAGATAGTAGGAGCAAGCTGCTTCATGTCGAAAGTAGGGATAACAACGTGAGTCAAAGTGTCACGAAGACATGAGTTCCCTAATTCAAGTTCCAAAATTTTACGTAATGGACTTGCATCATAACTTGGGAACACCAAACCGTAAGCCTCAGCTTTAAGAGGCTTCAGAGTTTCATGATGAACCATAAACGTTGTTGGGAAAAATTTATCTCGGATTTGATCTAGGAATCGTCCCACACTATCGGTTATAGATCGCAGGATAAAATTAATCTTCATTCTCCTTCATAAATAAAAATACATTTGGATCATAAATATGAATCCAATGGATTACAAGATTGATTAAAAAGAAATATTCACATAACAAAATCAGGAAGTCTCAATTTCTAAAAATATTCATTATAACATTTAATAAAGTAAACCAGGTGTTGATTCTGTGTCTATGGTTTTACTATTTAATTACATCACTCTTGTATTTTAATTATACACATAGTAAGACATCTTTTCTATATCTTCTCTAGGTAGAAATTAATATACTTCCTGTTTCTATATACATGTCCTGAATCCTGATTTGAATTTTTATTTAATCCCTAAATATTTGTCATGTTCCAAATTTCAAGGAATAATTATTAACTAAAAATTGACAAGATTAATTCTGTCTCTCTTATTTTTCATCGGTTTCCCATAATTTTCTTTCTTCAAAAAGTGTTACTACCTCCAGTCCTTAATATAAAAGATTTACTTTGTAGCTCATATTGAACAACAAACTAGATCTTTTGTGTGTGTGTGTGTGTGTATAAATCAAGCACTGAGGGCAGTATTACATTTTAGATGATTTTTTATTACAGAAAAAGGGGGGTATTACCATCTTCTGCATCCTTGAGGGAAAATCTCAGGGGATTTAGTTTTGTAGAAATGAACGATTCGAGAAGCATCGAATAGAGGACGAGTTTTGTTGTTTGGATGAGGAGCTGTAAGCATGGCAGCGATGAGTCCTCCTGTGCTTGTTCCTGCAATCACATCAAAATAATCTGCTATCCTTACGTTTGCATCATGTGCACAAGCCTGGGAATCACCACATTGAGGTTAATTAGATGAGAAAAAAGTGGAAAAAGATCCTACTACCTCCCAACTTTAATATAAGAACTACTTGACTTTAACTAATTGGTTAGATAAATTCGTTGATTAAACAAATGTGACATCCTTTGAATATCTTTGTGTAACATTAGATTATATATCAATTTATGAGTTAAGTAAATTATGGTTTAAGAAAACATGATAAATAAGAGAGATAAAATGGACTGAAATCTTATGTTTAGATCAAATTCAACTCCCAGTCAGCTCCTATATTAAAGACTGACAGGAATAGTATACATTGAGAAATACATAATTGCAATGAATACATAAAAGAAGAAATAATAATTAATTAGGTAGTAATAGAAGTAAGGAGGAAAAAAAGTTAAGATGGGGATATATATGCCCCTCTGTTTGACAAGTAAGAGAACACAGAGCTATGTACTCTGAATTTGACCCGAAACCTAGTCAGATAGCCAAACAAAGAAGTAATTATAAAGTTATGGAACCTGAAGCTCTTTCTCTAAATGGAGGAGGAGGATGGCGGGGATGAGGCCTCGAACACCACCTCCATCGATGCTCAGAACAGTCACAAAATTCGCAGAAGACGACTGATGAGAAGGAGTTTTCTGGTAACTGCTGACAAGGGCCACGAGTCCATTATCTGTGAAGTATTTGAGATACAGAGAGCTCAGAACAATAAGTGAGGAAGGGAAGAAAGCTTGATGAGTAACTTCTCAATCAATTCAAAGCTATTTATAGATGTTAGAGACCTTGCATGTTCAATGCAAGACAAGTTTGAGAATATGAGGTGTGCGCGCATGTTCATAAATATTGAAATTATGGGATGCTGCGTGATACACGAGTTCATGTGGATCCAAAATGTGTGTATATATGTATATAAATGACATTGGGTGTCTCC